GGATTAAGAAAGGAATGCTTCGGTGGTTTGGTCACGTAGAAAGAATGAATGATGAAAGAGTGACAAAGCAAATTTATATGGCAGATTTGAACGGCCGAGTCGGGAAGGGACGCCCTAGAAAAAAGTTTGTCGACCAAATTGGCGATATTTTGAAAATGGGCCACGTTAGAAGTACCCCTAACCGACGAGCATGTATGCGTAGATATATGGATGTAAAGGAGGCGAAAGAGGTATGTCAGGATCGTGCCAAATGGAATTCCGTAGTCTCTGCCTACCCCTCTGGGTGACAGGCGTGAGTGTTTATGTATGTATGTATGTATATGGCATGGTATTTACGATATCCATATATGTAAATCATGCATTATAAAGCTTATGGGAAACGATTTTCATATTCCGTTCTACTTCTTCATTATCAGCTTGTAAAATCCACTGCTGAGTTTCCACACTAGTAGCCTCTTACGAATTAGATATTTGTGATAAACATAATTGATTAACTATTCCATCATTCTCATAGTTTAATGGGACGGTAATCCGACACGACAAAAGAAATCAGGCGCAAGACTTTACGTGCTTCTCAAGGCACGGGGATGTAACACCGCCAACTTTAGCCAACTTCATCATCATCATCATCATCATTACAGCCCTTCACAAGTCCACTGCTGAACATAGTCCTCCCCCAAGTAATGCACAAAGCACGGTCCTGAGCCACCTGCATTCATCGACTTCCTGCATGTCTTACCAGGTTGTCACTCCATCTAGTGGGGGTACCTACACTACGCCTACCGGTACGAGGCTGCCACTCGAGAACCTTTCTTTCCCATCGGTTATCGGCTCTTCGAGCTATATGGCCGGCCCATTGCCACTACAGCTTACTAATCCGTTGGGCTATGTAGGTCACTCTGGTTCTACTGCGGATATCCGCATTTCTGAGTCTATCACGCAGAGAAACTCCGAGCATAGCCCTCTCCATAGCTCGCTGAGCGACCTTGAGCGTCCTCATACGGCCATCAGTGAAGGACCACGTCTGAGATCCGTAAGTCATCACTGGCAATACGCACTGGTTGTACACTTTAGTTTTCAGAGATTGAGGTATACCTGACGAGAAGATGTGTCGTAATTTCCCGAACGCTGCCCAGCCGAGTTGAATCCGTCAATTGACCTCTCGGTCGAAGTTGGACTTACCTAGTCGGAATATTTGTCCCAGGTAAACGTACTCGTCAACAACTTCGAGCATAGTACTCCCAACAACTACCGGCATAGGTGTGACATGTACTTTAAACATGATCTTTGTTTTGTCCATGTCCATCTTAAGACCATTGAAGGTCATTGAGCTTAGTGCTTAGGTCCTCCAGCGATTCTGCCATAAGCAATATATCGTCCGCGAATCGAAGGTGACTGATGTACTCGACATTGATATAAATACCGTATCCTTTCCAGTCCAGTAGCTTGAAAAAGTCATCCAATGCAACGGTGAAGAGTTTCGGGGATATAACGTCACCCTGTCTTACACCTCTCTGCATTTGCATAGGTTTCGAACTATGGTTCTGTACTCGGATAGCCATCGTAGCCCTACTGTACAAACACTTCAGCACTTCGATATACCGACAGTCAACTTGGCACCGCTGAAGGGACTGTAGCACCGTTCAAATTTCTATGGAATCAAAGACTTTCTCATAGTCCACATACGCCAGGCAAAGTAGCAGATTGTACTCTTCGGTCTTTTATCTGCCGCAGGGTAGGTATGCGGTCTATGGTACTGAAGCCTTTTCGGATACCGGCTTGTTCGGGAGGCAGGAAATCATCGAGTCTGCGTGCGAGACGATTCGTAATGACTCTCAAAAACAGCACGTAGACGCGGATCAGAAGGTAAATCGGCCTGTAGTTCTTCAAGAGAGCGTTGTCGCCTTTCTTAAAGAACAAGACCACCCCACTTCTGCTCCACGCCTCCGGAGTAGTGCCACCTTGGAGGACGGAATTGAAGAGCTTCTGAAGGACTTCAAGTACCGGTGTTCCACCCGCTTTCAGAAGCTCCGCTGTAATTCCATCCTATCCTGGGACCCTGCCATTTTTAAGGTGCTGGAAAGCCATTCTAATCTCGCTCAGACTGACGTCTGGGATATCATCGGAATAGTGTCGGATAAGACTTGCTCTTGGATCGTTACTCACACTTGCGTGTGGCTTCAACGATGATGTGTACAGCTGCCCATAGAACCTCTCAATCTCACTCAAAATCTCAGGTGTCCCGGAAACGATGCTGCCACACTCAGTCTTCAGCTTTGACCGTTGGCTCTTACTGGCTGACAGATCTCTGGCAAAGACTTTGGAGTCCTGATTCCGCTCGATCGCTTCTTCAATACGAGCTGTATTGAAGTTGCGTAAGTTCCGCCGCATCCGCCCTTCTCCTTCCCCGTCCTTCTCGTACTCGAGCAGTATTAAAATTGCGTAAGTCGCGCCGCATGCATTTTGAGATCTGTCTGTTCAGTTGCCTGTATGCTGTCAAATCTGTTGACGATTGCAGCCTCATCTCCCGTCTAACAGCCATGAGATTAAGAGTGTTATCGGAGAGTTTTTGCGTTCTTCTGCGGCGGGTCTTGCAGAACTTAGCTCTGACTGCATGGACAGTTTCCACAAATTTGTCATTCATATCGTCCACCGCATTACAATCTTTTAGGCACTGAAAGCGGTTACGTAACTCGAGCTGAAAGGTTTCGGGATTCTGGATTAGAGCACGAAGGGGATGGAGCGTTGACTACATTAGACGAGACCTCTCCAACTTAATGTTTAGGTTCAGTGTGCCTCTAACCACTCGGTGATCACTGTCAGTTTTCACCCTTGCGATCATTGAGACATCACTGAACAGTTAGCGTCTGGTCGTCATAATGAAGTCAATCTCATTTTTTGTCGAACCGTCGGGACTCGACCAGGTCTACTTCCTGTGGGGCCGTCAACTTCAGCCAACTTTAATAAGAATAACAGGTTCATCCATTACAGCCTGTAAAGGTTCACTGGCAAACGTAGAGCTCCCCATAGACGGCTTCATAGATTTTGTCATAGTTATCTCGCTTGACAGGCGTGTTGTCAATGGGAGTTTTTTATTATTATGAGTTGTTATGGAGGTTTCCGCTGACCATCTACTATAAATGTTATGTCGCAGACAATCAATCTGAAATTGTATTACAGATTGATTGTCTGAGACATAACATTTGAGATTTATACAATGTTTCTTTCAAACTAAATTATATTATTGGTATAATTTCACTGCAATATTTTGAAAAATTTATTTATATCGTAGATTGCAGTGTAGCCTCAACTAGCGTTCCTTCTTGCGTAAAATGGTGGTCTTATTCGTTTTGTGTAGCGATTTAATTAAAATGGAAAACGCTTTGTACATGGCTTTGACGCGACGTTGAGCACGGCCGTGGTCGTCAGATCGTATATGGTCAATTCAATGATTTCTTTAATAGTTAAAGTTTTACTTTTTTAAAATAAAATTTAAAATATTACATTGCAAATACTTTAGTTATTTATTAATTCATAGGACACCAGCAGTGCACACATTATTACATTTTACTATAAACATTATTAATATTGAAAGTAAGTTTAATCTAGGGACTGACAGAGCAAAGTTACTAGTTTACAAAAAAATTAAGAAAAAACAAGGACATATTTCGCAAAAAACTATACCTAAAAGTAACTTCTTCTTCTTCTTTAAGTGCCTCTCCATTACTGAAGGTCGGCAGTCATCCTTCTAAATTCTTCTTTGTTCAGGGCTAGTCTGAACAGATCTTCAACTTTCTTTATCCCGGTCCATTTCCGGATGTTACATAGCCACGACATTTTTCTTCTACCAACACCTCTTTTACCCGCTACTTTGCCCATCATAATAATCTGCAGCAGTTGGTAACGTTCATGCCTTAGCACGTGTCCTAGGCACGCAAATTTTCTCTATTTGATGGTTTTGACAAGTAGGGGCTTATTCCTTTTCATCTGCTTGAGGACCTCAATGTTGGTAACTTTGTCTGTCCAACTTATTCAAGCATACGGCGATACATCAACATTTCAAATGCTTCTAGTTTCTTTCGGAGATCTTCTTTCATAGTCCAAGATTCGCATCCGTATGGTATGACAATCCAAATATAGCATTGCATGAGTCTTGTACGTAGTTCAATTGATAGTCTGCTTGTAGTAAGGACTTTGCTCATCCTCATGAAAGAGGCTCTTGCAGTTTCAATTCGAACTCGTATTTCCATGTCACTCTCCCAAGAATCAGTTACCCAAAATCCAAGATACTGGTACTTCTGAACTTGTTCGATACTATCTTGTCCTATACATACACTGCACTGCTTTGGCGCTCTCGAAACTACCATGATTTTGGTCTTAGACACGTTTATATTAAGTCCTGATATTAAGATGATATTAAGTCTTGTGCTGTACTCGAATATGCGGTCTAGTATTTTTTGAAGACCTTGTTCTGAAGATGCAACAAGAACAGTGTCGTCAGCGTATCTCAAGTTGTTAATCAGTTGACCATTGACAAGGACTCCTTCTTCAACATCTTCTAGCGCTTCGTTTATAATATTCTCCGAGTACAGATTAAATAGCAGAGGCGACAAAATGCATCCCTGACGTACTCCTCTTTGGATAGCGATTGAGTCGGTAAAACCTTCCTTCACCCTTACGTTTGAGTTCTGTTGCCAATACAGATTTTGGATTATGCATATGTCTTTCGTGTCAAGGCCGATAGTCTTCAAAATGTGTATAAGAACGTCGTGCTTAACACGGTCAAAAGCCTTCTCATAATCTATGAAATATACGTACACATCTTGTTGCATATCGTAATATTTCTGTACAAGAACATTTAAGGCAAACTGGGCTTCTTTTGTACCCATTCCAGCTCGGAATCCAAATTGAGTGTCTCCTAATTGTTCCTCATACTTACGTCTTATGCGATGGTGAATTATGGCTGGGAAGAGTTTTAGAACTGCTCTGCTGATAGTGCGCTAGTCTAAGCACGTTTTGGCGTTTCGTTTTTTCGGAAGAGTTATGAAAGTAGATTTGACCCAGTCTTGAGGAATTTTACCAGAATTATAGATAGAGTTAAAGAAATTTATAAGTACATCACCTTGTTCAGGTTCTAAAAGTTTAAGAAGCTCAACGTTGATCTTATCTGGTCCGATGGCTTTTTCTGACTTTGCTTTATTAAGAGCAAAAACAACCTCAGATCTTATGATTTCCGGTCCAGTTATAGTTTCAAAATTCTGCGGACAACTACGATTACTGTCCTGAAACAAATCAGATATTGAAATAATACTAGTTTTTACGGAATTTATCGCGTATATTTAACTTTTTAAATACCCGACGTTTCGAACGCTTTACAGCACTCATGGTCACGGGCGGGACTGAGATGTTGCGGGATGATGATGCGGGACCGCCCGTGACCATGAGTGCTGTAAAGAGTTCGAAACGTCGGGTATTTAAAAAGTTAAATATACGCGATAAATTCCGTAAAAACTAGTATTATTTCAATGTGTAGTGTTCGCGTAAATATAAGAAATCATTACATATCAGATATATAATTTTCCCAGGTCTTTTTAACCGTAGTTGGGTCTGTGATGATTCTCCCAACATTATCAACCAGAAAACCGTGTTTATGCTTCTTTTGAATGTTCGCCATTGCCTTAATTTCTTTATGAAGATTAAACGCATCAAACTTAGGCATCAAAGATTCCGTAAGTTTACATTTTTCTTTATGCTATGTGATATAGGCTGCTCTAACTTCACGTCTGATACGTTTGTGAAGATTTTATATTTCCGATGATCAGAAGATTTATATGTGCGTCTTTCTTCAATAAATTGGATGATTGAGTCGGTAATCCACGGATTTTTCTTTGAAACAGGCGATGGAACGGATTAAGGAACCCATCATTTATGTCCCATATCTTCGACTTCAGACTTCAGACAGACCACAGAACTTCCACGTCAGTATTTCGTTTCTTATTTTCATCCACTGCCCATTCATTAATTGTTGTATGCACTTTTCCTTTCAATTTTAGATCTTTTAACTTACTGATGTAAACATATTTGTTGTTAACTCTATTATTGCTTCTGTATTTTAAGCGGCAAGTCAAATTAACAATGACGGGATTGTGGTCCGAACCGATATCTGCACCAGGATACGTTTTGGCACTAGTAACGCTATTACGAAACCTGTGATTGATAATAATATAGTCTATTTGATTTTGAACAATATTTGCTGGAGATGGTGAGGTCCACGTATAAAGCCTCCTTGGCGGTAATTGATACAAAGTATTTGTAATCACTAGTAGTAGTGTAAAAGTAACTAAGACAATAAAAACATGCAAATAACCAAGCAGCAGCTGTAAGGAACATGGACATTATATTATAATTAAATCATTAACGAGTCATTTATAAGAGTTACGTACTACATTTTACCTATATTTAGGACGAGTATCATAAAGTAGGCAACACAGTACAGAGTGAATTATAGGTGTCACATATTCGCGGTGCCGGGCGGGACCCCATGCTAGTCCTGGATTGAGCAGTGTGTAAAAGTTTTGTTATTCGACGGTGAAAGACATTGTATGTTACATTTAATAAAAAATATTATAAAAGTTCACAACAGGCCGTACAGTTTTTCTCCAAATGAATGTGTTTCGAAAAATGATAATCGCTGTTCGTAGGGACGACTATCTGAAATTCTACTATATATGAATGCAAGATGTCTAATACAGGCTCTCTGAATACCTTTTATTCTTTGCGAATGCACAATTTTTGCAGTGCAAGTTTTTTTTTTCATATTGTACTCGCATATTGCAGTTGGTTCCTTACTAGGGTGTTAAAAAGTAAGACTTTAGTGATTATTTGAAAGCCAATGCTATTGTGTTTTAGCGAGCCCAGTATCTGAGCAGCTTTCTTTACAATGCCTTAAATATGATTAACATAGGTAAGTTTCATGTACATAACACATAAATCTCTCATTTCACCTATTTCTGTGAGCATAGTACCTTGAAGGCTCATTTCACCTACTTCTGTGAACATAGTTCTTTGAAGTACTTTGAAGGAAGTAGTGTAAGGTTTCCATTTCTTAGTAAGCTTGATACAGAAACATTTTTTTGGATTTAACATCACATGTTTTGCATTATACCATTTTTCCAGTCACTCAAGATCGTCTTGCAGAAGTAATGAGTCAAAATGAGTTCTTCAGCTTCAAGTCATCTGCAAACAAGGAAACGTAGCTTGCCTTGAGCGTACTCGTGACATTATTTATGAGCAAGCTCGATATTGGTCCCAGATGGGAACCATGAGGTACGCCAGATTCTTAAGTCGACCGTGTGATGAGAATAGTGGTGTAAGAATATCCATTTCTAATACTACTACAATATCGCCCCGTGTGTGTCGTAAGAACTGAATGAGGGAAACAAAAGACAGGCAGCAGCGCTTTCCTAATAATAACTTTGAAGGAACCTTTGTGTTTGGCAAGGGGTACTGTGGCAATATGTCACAATAAAAATAATATTAACGCTAAATATTTTAACTATAGCGTCGTCACAACGGGAGACGTCCATCCTCATGAGTGAGTTTTAAAAATACTAGTAATATTCGGGAGCTACGTTTTGGACGATTAAAAAGCCATTCAAGTCTATAATGGTACTGGAAAACGTAGTCATACTTACGTAGAAAAAGGTAGAGGTTAATTATATTATATTTTCGTAAAGTATAAATGAAATAAATAACATTTTAGACTGGTTTCACCCAATGAGTATACGTTTTCTTTGCCAAATATATTGTTATAAAGACCCTGATCCTGATCACTGACCTGAAATTTAAATTATATTTACGTTGTATATCCATGCTCCAGCTTTATAATGAATGTTGCACAAATACTACAGGTTTCACAGGATGTCAGTTCACAATTGCAGCTAAATGCTGTTTGTTTTTCATAGATAACGGGAGACCCTTTTTACCGAAAACGAGGCATATAATATAATTCCTCAATTTTGATTTCTAAACGAGGATAGATGTAGACGTCTATGGGCCTCAACATCTACTTACTATCAGGTAGACTGTGTGCTCATTTGTAGCACTTATTCTTAATAAAAAAACTAAATACTGTAAAATATTTTTTTAAGAAAGAAAATTCACTGTTATATAATATATACGTAATAATAAATAGGATAACATTTGTGAAACATGTACGTAGTATGTTTTTTTAAATAAAATAACGGTGACAAACGAGCACACAGTCCACCTGATGGTAAGTAGATGCTTTGGCCCATAAACATCTACATAAATATACCTATCTACATAGCATAAAAACAAGGGTGAACTCTTAAATTACTTTTGTTGACATTTTTTTTGCACTACAAATTATAAATATTTAAAAATACGGATTTTTTAATCCTGAACAATATTTCTTTTGTCATACTACTGCAGAAAGTCAGGAATTGAAGACGTTTATATTAATATTACACAGTTTAAACAAAATTCACATCAGAAGAGCTTTGTACCATAGTACCTGGTCTGTAACTGAGTCATTATTCTATTGATGGTATAATTTTTGTTTATAATGTTTGTAATGATGGTTTAATTTTTTCACCATTATACTTTATGTATCGATCGAACAAAGATGGTTTAGTTCATTAAGCAACTATTTCTAGAGGACTGATTCACGTAAAAAATAAAATTTTATTAGAGTTTGGAAGCGAGCGCTACGTTAAGTAACATATGAATGTACACTATTAGCGCTGCGACAAAGCTAGCGAAGCCTGCAGTCTCGTAATTCGTGACTACGGAACTGTTTCGTGATTATATTTCGGAAAGCTTTTGAGAAACGATACTTCGAGCGAAACTAAAATTAAACTTAATCTACGTATCGAAACAGTAAAGCTGCAACAAAAGTTTACGTAGAAAGAAGGCAACTGAAATAGCTGACGACAATGATCATTATGATGACGTAAACTATAAACAATAAACCGATATAATTAATATGTACGATATATTCATATTAATTTTATTCTTACATTGCCACCGTGTGGTAGTGTAAGGATATAATTGATATATTACCGGTGGTGATGAAATAATATCTAAATGCTCATATCGTCACGTAGGTGTTGAAAGAGGTGACAAAGGCAAACAAACCATAAGAACAATGCCCTTTTTTACATTCTTTTTAACAATAAAAAAATTAAAAAACTCGGTTGTCAACCCGATAGCCAAGCGTGACCAGTAAAGCAAATATCCTTCTTCTGGAGCAATCTATGGGGAGGCCTATGTTCAGCAGTGGACTTTTACAAGCTGTACTGGATGGATGGATATTCCTTACAGAACCAACGATATGATTGAAGTTGACTCATCTTCACAGTACCCCAGCCAACAATCACTTTGTGTCCCGAGCTCGTCATATAGCCATGTTTCATCAGTAGGCAGTCTCAGTTTCAAATATCATGCGCTTCCCACCCTTGTTTTATAAAAAACTTAAATATCTCTATTTTTATAGAGGTATTTAATCCTTATTCTTAACTTTTCTCAGTTATAAACGCGGGGTTATACTGCATTACTGAATTACAGTGTCAAGCGAGCACACAGCCCACCTGACGGTAAGCGGATACTGTAGTTTCTAGATATTTACATCTATCCCCGAATAAGAATCAAACTGTAGATGCGTTGTCACTCCTGAGAACTAAGATGAAATACTTTGTGTTCAACGGTTCTCTACACTCACCATACCAAATACAGCAGCATTGCTCGGTTATTTTGTCTGGTATTCCGTAAGAGCGTGGTGCTGCCCCGGTCGAGCTGACTCATCAATCAATCTCTCATCTCATCTCATCAATCAAACTCATCAATAGGCATCAATTCACCCGTTGGTATTTGCTTGCCGGTAAATTAAAATGACACTCAACGGTAGTCGTGAAGGATGGTTTGCATTGCTGCTGATACAAAACCCTGCCCGCACTCAAGTAATTAATTTGCAATTCATCAGTTTTCGCGAATAAGTTTTCAATTACTAGAAAATTTTACAAAATTTTTTGAATACCACCGTGATATAGCAGCTTAATGCTGCTGTGTTTCGTATGGTGAGTGTAGAGATCTAGAGACCCTTTTTACTGCAAACGAATTATTCCATCTTAGTCCTCACGGGTGACAACGCAACTTGTCTTCGCATAATTTAGACAGAAAACAAGCGTTTATTCAGTAACCAAACCTCATACAGTTTAAGAAAATAAAAACAAGTTGGAAAAACATAAAAATACATAAGAGAATGTGATGCTGAAATGGACACTGACTCAACATAGCATTGGTATTATTGTAATACTGCATTGCTAAAAACCAAACCTAATGTTTTATAAATTTCGTTTGGTTTTACCAATACCTTAAATAATACTTTTACGGAATTTACGCGTATATTTACTTTTTGCTTATAGAATTTCATTGAAGTTGAACTCGCCTGAGAGAATATTTTGAATTCATTTCGAAGCTCTTTTTTCCTGTCCTCTTTTTAATTCAGTAAATGTTGAAAAATGTTGCTTGTAAACAAGTAAGCTTCCCAAAAGTAGCAGGAAAAATTTAAAAATATTATTGAGTTTTTAAAACTTTTTATAGTCATAGCAAATCACTGCGCAAAAAACACGTCGACTGAACTCAATTGCCGTGAGCAAATTCCCGACAACAAAAAGCATTTTCCAAACAAAATTTCCATTTTCAAATTTATCAGCCATTCGATATATTCAACCTTTACAATGACCTATAATTCGCCAATGTTCAGTAAAGAGATCTTACTTCTTTTGAAGTACCCCTTGTACGCGTAGGTACTCGTATTCCCAAGAAAAAAGGATTATTTTTATTACATTTTTTTATAATACACATTTTAACTTAATATAAAAACTTTAATATTAAGTTAAAATGTGTATTTTTATGTGTTTTATTATCGCGATTTATATACAGGTTGTTAGTGTAAACACCGTTATCCTTGAAACCAGTGGTTTGGTTTCACTTATAGAACGTAAATTCAATGAATTTAAAAAAATAAAACATTCCAATGAAAACACAATAGGTACA